TCTTTAGGGAGAAATGAAAGTGGTCACCCAATTTGTTTTGATTGTTATCGAGGTTGGTTGGAAGTGTTATTTTGCTTTACCAAACTTAGGTCTCAAGTAAACCAAAAACAGAATAAATTAAAGAGAAACCAGAAGAGCTTCCAGGGCCTGGCCTCCCAGATTTGCATGTCTCCGTTTGCACACACACGCCTCCTCCGCCAAGAACACCCATGTGTGTCCATGTGTCACAGTAAATCAGTTCAGCTTTTCCTCCCAGGCTGGGAAGAAAAGAACAAAGGGCCAGAGCAAAGAGGGCAGCTCTTGGGGGTGGGGAGTGTCTCTTGAGGCCACAAAGAAGGCAAGGAAGCACAGTGGTCAGGCAACAGTGAGGTGGCAGGCCAGCCTCCCTGAGGGGGGACCATCAGAGGCCCGCCCAGAAGACCTGGCCTAGGCGCGTCCGGACTAAGCACATCCGCCAAGAGAAACAGCTTCAAAATGATGACCCCTTGAAGGAACCATGAATTTCTTTAATCAACTGATTTCCTCTGGTGTCTAAAACGCCTCATTTAACAAGGCTTGTTCTGGGCTGAAATTGAATAGATGTAATTGACAAATGCTTGAATTTGGGTTCCACTCTGGGGGGGTGGGGGAAATACTTCTCTGTTGGCTTTTCCAGAGCAATTACAGGGAGGGAGTAAAGACACTTGGAAGGGTTCTTGCAATTCAATTTGGACACGGTCCTGACTTCCCTCCTGACCTCCCCACCCCCACTCCAAGGGGCACACACTCTGAGACAAAGGCCAGATCTGCTTTGCTTTCTCCCAAGAGAGGCCCTAGGGCCACAGATGAAGCAGCTGTCAGGCAGGCAGGCTATAATCAGCTTTAACTGGCTCACAGCCCACAGAAAGTGCAGACTCTTATTCCTACAGTCCTAGGTGGGGCTGCCATCGCCAAGATGGGGAGGGGCGTCAGGAGCTTCCCGTCCCAAGCATCTTCCATACCCAGGATCCAAATGACAAATTTACAGTTGAGGGTCTCAAGAATTTCAATATACACATAGAAAGGGATGCTTCAGTGCTTTGCATCACTGGCTTCAGCTACATGTCACGTGTCACCCCAGCATGATTCGTAAGGACAGTAAATCAATGAGACAGTGAACGAAAAGTTAAAACGCAACTCAAGATGGGTTTCTCAGGTGAGTCATACTGCAAGGCTGCTAGTTAAGCACAGTACCCCTGTTCTCAGCCTCAGTGTGATTTCTCCTCTCTTCCCAATGCCTTGTGGGCATTGTAGGATGAAAAGTGGGGGTACTGAGGACAGGTGGCCAAAGATAGAGGAGCTCTATGCGGTTGGGCTGTTTCAGTGTGACAGGACAAATGACCCTTCCCGTGGCCCCAGGCTTCTATTGTTATGAGATATGGGCCACATGAGATTAGAGTCACCATATCTATACCACAAAGAAAAAAAGGAGAGAAAAAGAGGAGGGGGGAGGAAAACAAGGAAAGAAAGTAAAAGAAAAGGGCATTCACTCAAATCTTACAATGGGAGGTGGGGGTGGTGGTGGGTGAGGTTGAGGACAGAAAAGCAAGGAGGTTCTAAACAGCAGGGTACGACAATAAATGGGGAAACAGCAAGAGAAAAAGCACACTAGGTTAATATAGGAAAACTAGTTCTTTATTGAGATTGTATATTAGTATTAGTGGATTCTGTGTGTAACAATGTCATCATGCACACGATACAAAAAAAAGGAAAAAAAAAGAAAAAAAAGAAAAAGAAAGGCTGGGCCCACCATGCTTCGGAAGGGTAACAACAAAAGCAGCGTACAATGAGCAGATGGCCGGGCTACACGACCACAGTACGGTTCAGCAGGGGAACGTCTCTAACCGAGCGCTGTACAGTGTCAACTGGGGGATGTAAAAAAATACAGACCATGCTTTAGTTTTAGTACAAGAAAAGGTGAAAAGATACACAACCAAAAGGATATTTGATACATAAAAAATTACCCACAAAATAAGAACAGGAAGTAAATTCAGCACAGCAGAACACGCTACCCCTGTTTAATGGAAAACCATTTTGCTGAGGTTTTTTTGTTGTTGTTATTTTGTTTTGTTTTGAGTTTTTCTTCTTTTTTTTTTTTCAGATTGCCATTCTGAAACGGCATTCTGGGGAGGCTACTTACGACTATTTTGGAAGGGCCCTCAAAGTAGGCGCCTTATTCTTTTATGACTGCTGCTGTTTTGTTTCAGTTTTCAAGCAGGTCTGGCTGGCCAGGCAGCAGAAGGGAGCCGGCTGTTAAAGGGGCAGCCCTGAGGGCCAGGGCAGATATCCAAAGATGCTCTTGACATTGTACAATTAAACAATTAGGACCCTATGGCCACAGCAGCTCCCCTTAAGCCAGGAACCTTGGTGCACCAATTTTTCAGAGGCTAAAATAGCAGCAACTGTCATTTCATCATAGATTTTCTTTTTAATATATATTTAATAAATTTTGCCTCCAACTAAATGCTATGCCTGGGTGCTGCCAGCTGATGATCACCCAGACAAGTGGGAAACGGGCTGCTACAGCCTCCAAGCCAAGGCAAAAGGAATCCACTTAACAGGGATTTACAGTGCAATGTACTCGGCTAAACAAGATGAAGATACAAAAATGGTTATTTCTCTAGATCTATTCTGAAATGGCCTACATCCTACACTACTACAATGGAAACTAAAAGAACAGGCTTAAGCTAGCAGACTATCTCATAGTTTTACAAGAAAAATTTGTGGTTTAGGACCTTTGACTTAAGCTTTAGTATCCTCTATCGGAAGGTCATGAGTTCCTAGCACACCGTGCTCAATTTCACCCACAGCCCAACTCACCCCTCAGACCCTAAAATTTGCTGTAGGTGTGTTTACCGTGAAAGTTTGCCATTGCAATTCTGACAGGCAGAATTGGTTTTGTTGGATTTTTGTTGGTGGAGGGGAGGGTTAGTAAAAATAAATCTTAAAGGCAGCTGAACAATTTGAATTTCAAAACATGGAACCAGCATGCTGCAATGGTATTTAGAGATCGGTGATATTAATGAGGATGATAATGATTTAATCAGGGTAATTATACTTTCAGGCTCAACACCCTTCTTAATCATTTTTGAATTTTTGCCTAGTGTAATGCTCCACACCCGTTTTAAGAGGAAATGCCAAGTAATAAGAGATAATTGTGTACTGGGGAGTGGGGTGGCATTTCATGATCTAGTCCTGATCTCCTCTCCCCGCCACCGCCACCACCACGCTGGCCTGAGATAGGGGATACTGCCGCTTAAATAGCAATGCCTTCCTCGGATGGAGACAGGAAATGGTTAAGAGGGTGTCACAATACAGCTAAATGCGGAGGCAGAAGGGTCACAGCGCACACAGCAGCGAGTTGACCATTCACTGAGCTACACAATGAAGAAAAAAAAAAAGATTTGATAAATGCAGAATGTCATCATTCCATCAACACACACACACACACACAAAAAAAAAAAAAACAAAACCGCAGTTCAAACAGGCTTAGGGGGCCAACCTTGCCTTGAGATTTCTGGGGAGAGGCAGCGGGGTTGGGGGGAGTTGGACTGAAGAAGGGCTGGTCTTTCCTAGCCTGGTGCAGTCTGGCCCCTGGGGCGCATTAAAGCGCTGGCCTGTGACCCCACCCCCAGCTCTGACTCTGAGGACCAGAGGGGGTCGGTAGGTGAAGGGAAGACATCATTCTTGTAAAAGGAGGGGGTGATTAGCCATTTAAGCAGACGTGGTGTGGGAGAGAAGAAACATTTCCAAGAGAAATGTGAGTCCAGAGGCAGAATACAAAAAGAAGGGAAAAAATGAATTGATGTATCTCAGATTTGCTTTGGGAGGTGGGAATTTTTGATTAAAGAGAATGGAAGGAGTGTGGAGTGGGGGACAGAAAAGGGGAAACCAAGCTATTGTTGCAGGGAAATGTAAGGAAAAGGGGGTGTGGGGAAGGGGGACTGTGCAAACACACCCCATATACCACAGTTAAAAACAAAGACATCGCCAGCCTGCTGCTTGGTCAACCCCGGCCCCGGGCAAAGGCCTGGCGTGGGGGCAGCTTCCCACTTCATTCTCATGCACAGCTCAACACCCAAGAAACAGACAACCCGCTCCTGACCGGCCCCGGGGTGCAAGGCAACACACGTCTGATTTCCAAAGCGCGTAAGCACGCGCGCACACACATATACATGCATACACACACATACACATGCACACGCATACATACAAGGATTTTGAATCTGTAACCGCAACTGTCATACAAAGACAGTTGCGGAGAGGGAGGTGTGCAGGGCTACAGAATAAGGATAATAAAATAAAACAAAAAGGATTAAATGAGAGAAAAGGAAGGGACAAGAAGGTACCAGTACCCATGAAAAGGAAGGAGTCGGAGCATGGGATGGGGCTGATCCCAGCTCACCGGCCATTGGCCTTAAGGCCCCCAAAATAAATAAATAATAATATACAAAACAGAACAAAACACACATATGCCTCTTTAAAAAATCACAGAAAATCAAATCTACCCACCACCACCTCTCTCTCTCTCTCTCTCTCTCTCTCTCTCTCTCTCTCTCTCTCTCTCTCTCTCTCTCTCTCTCTCTCTCTCTCTCTCACACACACACACACACACACACACGCATGCACGCACGGTATGCATCGCATCTCCCTTCGGTCACACAGGGCTAGGTTGGGGAAGGGGCTATGATTTGGAGGAACCACGTCCGCCGCAAATAATAATAAAAAAATATGGGGCTGGGGAGGAAGGGACCCAAATTCACCAAACCCTAACTTCAACTGTAAAAGCTCCCGCGAGGGTGCCACCCCACACTCTGGGGTCTCCCCAGAAGGGGGTGGGAAGCAGCACCGCTCGCCTCGCCTCGCCCCGCGGCTGTGCCTGCGCCCCCGCCCGCCGCGCCCGCCCTCGCCCCCGCCCCCGCCCGGTGCCTGCGGCGATCCGCGCTCAGAAGGAAGCAGACCCCGAAAGGAAAAAGTGATACCTCTGTTTCGCACAGAGCCAAACACTGGAAGCACGAGATAGCCGACGTGGACCAGGACCATCCTGGCTTCTCGCGCCGCGGCGGCGGTAGCGGCTGCGCGCGGGCCCTTTGTGGCGCGGCTCCGGGGCGCGGGCGATGGGGCTGCGGGAGCCGCCGGGGCGGGAGGCGGAGCGCGGGGCGCAGGCGGCGGGGCGGCGGCTGGCGGGGAGACAGATGGCCCATGGAAAGGCTCCCTTCCCGGCCCCTCTCGACATTCAAAGGCGCTGGGGCCGCAGCTGCCGCCACACAAAGGCGCGCGCAGCCAATGGGAGCGGAGCGCAGCGCGGCGCGGCCTCGCCGGAACCGCGGGGGACAGCGGGGACCGCGGGCGCGCGGGGCGGGGGAGGAGGTGACGGCTAGAGGAGCGGGCGGCCAATCGCGGGGCCCGCTGCGGTGCGCGGGGAGGGGGGGGAGCGCGGGGCGCGTGGAGCCTGGCTTGGTCCTCCGGCCGCAGCGCACAGCGCCCTGCGCGCGCGCACGCACGCACACACACACACACACACCCGCACGCACGCACGCGCGGGCGGGCGGCGTGCACACGGAGCTTGCACACAACCGGAGACGTGCTCCCGGACATGTGAAGTGCGTTCGTCAGCGCAGTGACAGGCAGCGAGTGCACACGACCCAGAGGTCCCCGGGCACCACACACGGGTCACTCGGGGACGTGCGCACCGAGGCTGGCGCACGTGCAGAACCTGCCTACAGGCGCAAGTGAAGCTGGAAAGCCAGCAGGCAGCCGCAAACAGGACCCAGGCACTGCCGAACACACAGACTTGCACACAACAACAGACAAATGCCTTGTTAAGGAAGGGTGTGTGCCGAAAACGTATTCCCAAAGACACACAGACGGGGCCTCACAATGCAGACGCGAGTGAGACTGCACACTCCAAGCTCTCTGCCTGACACACCGCGGTCTTGCTCTTGCAGAGCACAAAGCTCCCCCAAATTTGCTTAATTGAAAACCGCACATTTCCTGCAATGTGCACACCATCAGCGCAGTGATAACACTAACCAGAAACCCAAGTCCCCTGCTCTGCCACTGGCCTGTCCAGCCATTTCACAGGCACGCCCACTTCCACATTCATAGGCAAATAGGTGCAGATTCGCACGTGGAAGCCGAGCTTCCAGGTCATGTGTGACCCTTAGCCAGCCAGCCAAGGTACTTAGAGACCAGAGCACTTTCTGAAACTCTGTTCTCGGTAGACAGCCCAGACTACCTCCAGGCGCATTTGGCCTACCTAGAAAGAAGGGCTTCAGGTCCATACCAAGGCCAGAGATCACTCACCTGCTGGCAAGACAGAACAGACTTCTTTTCGAAACCCAGTGACTAATTAATCAAGTATGGACTCGCTGACAAAACCACAGATGAAGATGGAAGGAATCTCATCCTTCTCCGGACAGTCATCTATGCTGTGCTGTGTTGCAGTCACAGCACTGGGGGGTAGGGGAGGCGGGGGTGATGCATTCAAGCCCAGGATGCCTCAGTGGTATAAAGAAGAAATCCCCACTGAGCCTAGCTGATGCGAGAAGTAAAGATGCAGAGATGAGCCACTGGATGCTTGCTCTGAAAGGGAGATGGCCTGGAGAGGAGTAAAGGAACTGGGGAGACGCTGAAATGACCCCAGGAAAATGTCCCCTGACACTTTTGAGATTGGCTAGCCCTAGAGAACTCCGGGATGAAGGCAGTCAGGGCAACCTAGTAAAGACTCACACCTTGCCCTTAGATAATCACCTCAACCAAAACAAGCAGCAGCTCCTCCCAGTTTTCATTACTAAACATACCATCACTAAAAAAGCCAAAGAACAAAGACTTCAACCAACACCTAACTAGTAGAATTTCCAGACCCTGCTGCCTGCCACGTGCCAGTGTGAACATTACTAATGTTGTCATAATCCACATATTTACATTTTAACACATGGCTCATTCTCCGGCCCTGCAATAGTCCTGCTAGTGTGTGTATTATGAAATTACTTACTTAGTCATGAGTTACTCTAGGCTACTGATTTGTTCACCATTCTCCATTATTATAGAACATGGCCTCCTGCATTAGCTGAACTATAAGCTTAGAATTAACATCTGGACAGGCATTCCTTAATCCTAGAATGGAAGGTTTTATAGATCTTGCCACATACTGCATTTTTTAAAAAATTAAAACCATTTGTCAGTGCTATAACAATATACATTATGTTTGGCCTGCCTTCCCAACCTGGCTCTGACACTTGGAGTTGGACAAATTTTGGACTCTCTGGGTCTTGGTTTCAACATCTGGGAAATGGGGTGAATATAACAGCAAGTGTGTTAATATGAACAAGTGTGTTAGTACAGGGAGAGTATACAGACTAGGATCTGACTGACTCATCCTGACATTTGGTTTTTTTCTCCAACCTGTCCTGGCCCATAACCTTTTTCCTTCCAGTTGCTACTTACTATGGCCTATTTAATGCATTCACTCTCAACTGCAAGTCAGAGCTGCCAGAAGACAAAAGTAATCAATGACAGAGCAGCAATCATGAATCCACCGAAGAACTACATGTTTTGTATTCATGCATCAAAGAAACCTAACAGACATCCCCTGCTCCATTATACCAACACCCACCACAGGCACACGCCTTCCGTTAAGAAGAAACTATTGCAGAGTAGGAGGAAGAACTTCAACTTTAATGAAACCTTGACCCAGCATCTAATATGCTTCAGTCACAACATACCCAACTGTCTAAATAGGCACAATATCCCCTGCCTCACATCTATGTTACCAGGAGTTTGTCATGAGGAACAACTGAAAACATATTGTGTCTTTAAATAATACAGCAAAATGCAAAAGTTTAAGTGCAATAATGGCTACAAGAATGAAACATAGTTGTTATTTTGCCTTCATACACTTCGTAGATATGGAACAGAGACAGGCTCAGAGGCAGTATGAACAAGGTCACTATCATTCCTGGCTCAGCTGGAACTAGAACCTGTATCCCCTTGTCTAGTGTAACTCTTGTTTCTCTTTTTTAAACCCATAATGTTGGGATAAGTAGTATAACTCTTTCTCCCATTAGTTAAAGTCTATTAAAAGTACAATCAAGCAGGTTTCTGATATGAAAAAGTCTCGTAGACATTTTCTGTTCCTTGACGAAAGGCAGTGGCTTCTTTACGTGTTCTTTCTGTCCGTTGCTCAGAATCATGCACTGCTTACTTGCACACATAGCATGTGAGTCTCAACGAGTACATGAATCATCTGTGCTTCTTCACCTGACATGGGAAAGCATGACCCTTTAGAGTTAACAGTGGTAGAGATGGGGGTAAAGCCCCTCCCGAACATGCATGTGGCCCTAAAGCCAATCCCCATGACAGCAAAGACAAATAAATGGGGGCTGGAGAGATGGTGAAGAGCATGTGCTGCTCTTCCAGAGGACCTGGGTTTGATTCCCAGAACTCACAACCGTCTGTAATCTGAGGTCTGATGCCCTCTTCTGGCCTCTGCAGGCAGCAGACGTGCACGTGGTACATAGACGTACATGCAAGTAAAACACCCATACACATAAAATCAATTAATTAATTTTTAAAAGAAAAAGCAAAGATTGAACAGAGGCAATGCTATCATTGGTCCCAGACCCACACTTTACTTCCTCTCTTCTGGCTCCGCTGTGGCCACCCACAGAGAAATTTCTACAGCTCACCATGTTTCTGGAGCCTAGAGCATCTGTTTTGAGAACAACCCCAGAGTGTGTTTGGTTTGGATACAAAATATTCCCAATGGTTCACGTGTTGAGGTTTGGTCTTCAGCTGGTGGAGCTGCTGAGAGGTAATTGGATAAGGGCATTTATCTCATCAATAGATGAATCTATAGCTGTGTGGACTATTACGAGGAGGGGGCTCCGTTGGAAGGAGTTGGTTGCAAGAGTTGAATCTTGTCCCTGTTCCCTTCCAGTCCACACATGACCATGATGTTCTGTCTCATCCTGGGTCCTAAAGCAATGCAGCCACAGTTAATTTTAGGTTGCTTTCCCCAAGTAGGTTTCACAGCAGTGCAAAGCTAACACAGAGCCCAGCACTGATCCAAGCTATCTGTCCCTGGATCCACAGATGAAAACAATCCACACAGTGGTCAAGTACATAAAAAAAATGTCCAAGCCTAATGATAAAATTCCTACTCATCTTTATGGTGTGCTGATATCAAAGTCTGTGTAAAACAAGGTACTTCTCTGAGTGAACACTCCCCCTATGAGTGAACACACTCCCCATGAGTGAACACTCCCCTCTGAGTGAACACTCTCCCATGATTGAACACTCCCCTCTGAATGAACATGCTCCCATGAGTGAACACTGCCCCATGAGTGAACACTCCCCATGAGTGAACACTCCCCCATGAATGAACACTCTCCATGAGTGAACACTCCCCCATGAATGAACACTCTCCCATGAGTGAACACTCCCCCATGAGTGAACACTTCCCTCTGAGTGAACACTCCCCATGAGTGAACACTCTCCCATGAGTGAACACTCCCCTCTGAGTAAACACTCTCCCATGAATGAACACTCTCCCCATGAGTGAACACTCCCCCATGAGTGAACACTCCCCATGAGTGAACACTCCCCCATGAGTGAACACTCTCCCATGATTGAACACTCCCCTCTGAATGAACATGCTCCCATGAGTGAACACTCCCCTCTGAGTGAACACTCCCCTCTGAATGAACATGTTCCCATGAGTGAACACTCCCCTCTGAGTGAACACTCCCCTCTGAGTGAACACTCCCCTCTGAATGAACATGCTCCCATGAGTGAACACTCTCCATGAGGGAACACTCCCCATGAGTGAACACTCTCCATGAGTGAACACTCCCCTCTGAATGAACATGCTCCCATGAGTGAACACTCCCCTCTGAGTGAACACTCCCCTCTGAGTGAACACTCCCCTCTGAGTGAACACGCTCCCATGAGTGAACACTGCCCCATGAGTGAATACTCTCCCATGATTGAACACTCCCCTCTGAGTGAACACGCTCCCATGAGTGAACACTGCCCCATGAGTGAACACTCTCCCATGAGTGAACACTCTCCCATGAGTGAACACTCTCCCATGAATGAACACTCTCCCCATGAGTGAACACTCTCCCATGAGTGAACACTCCCCCATGAGTGAACACTCCCCTCTGAGTGAACATGCTCCCATGAGTGAACACTTCCTCATGAGTGAACACTCCCCTCTGAGTGAACATGCTCCCATGAGTGAACACTCCCTGCCATGAGTGAACACTCCCCTCTGAGTGAACACGCTCCCTTGAGTGAACACTGCCCCATGAGTAAACACTCTCCCATGATTGAACACTCC